TTCTTTTTGAAGACGCATCCCTAACAAAAAGAAAAAAAAAAAAAAAAAATGTGCATGCACCTATAGGCAAGCTTGCCGTACTGTGAAAATCTAAGCGTTCACTGCTCTACACACAGGAAGGGTGCTTATGGGAAGAGGGTTAATGGTGGAAGAAAAGACACAGCATGCATGCTAAACACTCTGACTGCACACAGACATCTGAGCTAATGACTATGGCAGTATGGGGTTATGCTGGTTCCAGGGTGGCGGGTCGGTCGGAGGTTTTACTATGAAGCCATTGTGATGTCACTGCTCTGTACGGACTATCTGCCGCCGGGCACAGACAATGTCCTAGTGTAAAGCCAACTGCACATAATGCTCTTCAGAGAAATACAGCAAGCTGAGAAGAGATGAGAGCATCCTCACCCGATAATTTCATGCCAAAGACTCTATACTGGGCACTGTGTTACCACAGTATAAACCAGTTAAGTAGTGTGAAAAGACTGGATCTGTGCAGGATTTTGGAAATATTTGAGACCATAATTCACAGCACTGAATGAAGATTTCAGGTATGAGAGGGAAAAAGGAGAGAGAAATGTAGGACAAGGGGGTTTTCTGGCTCCTTCAGCCTCCTTACTCTTTGTTGTTTATTAGCAGAGACCCCTCTTGCCCATGACCAATTATACAGGCAAATGTTTTTCTAAGGAAAAAGAGCCTGCACTCCCATATGCATTAATCACTCACTGATACTTCCACAGGGATACTGATTCAACTGACAGGAATACAGCAGAATTCTTCAAATCTGATTTAAAAATCTTTAGTCAAGCAATTTGTATATTAAGAATTATGTAAATATAAAGAACAGAAAAATAAAAAACAGATTACAAATAAAACAACTATATATATATATATATAACCAAAAACAACCTTCTACAGTAAAAATAGCTCAATAGTATAATAGACATATATATTACAATATCATAACATTTTTCAAAAATGTAATGTGTAAATATAATTCATATATAATATAAATTGAATATGCATTTTTACAATAAGAATTGTAGTTTAGAAATATTTATTAGGCTACCATAGAGGTCATTCTCTTCTTCTAAATGACAACATTGAAAATACTCTTTTTTTTAAGAAAAGATAAAATCAAGATTATGGGTATAATTTTGTCAGTTTAAACCTAAAATTAATTAGTCACACAAAATTTCATCGTTTTTTTATGGTGAATATTCAACGATTGACGCTAAATTCGATTAAATATGTCAACATTCTATTTTTTAAAAACTAGGCTGCTAGTAATCTGTAAAGCCCCGAGGAACTATATATATATATATATATATATATATATAGTAAAACGACGCCCAGTTATTTAAAATGTACTCAGTAATCAAGGTTTCAGCGTGAATTTTGAATGATCATCACCTTTTCATTATTAAATGAGATGATAGCATCTATTTGATGTTTCCATCCGTAATAGATGTTGTTAACGGTAAACATTTATCGTGAGGCAGAGTACACGAAAAACTAGCGGTCTGACGGTGAGGCATCAATTGTAACGTAGTTTTGAGAGCATCGCTCAGTGTCCATTCACCCTGCGCTCAGTAACGAACCCTACTGCTGTTCCTAATTTCAAGACCACGTGACGGTGGGAGTGAGTGAAGTTTAAATTCCCTTTCAGAAAGGGAGCTCAATTCATCCCCTATAAAAAAAAATCATCCCTTTTATAGCGACATCTTATATAGCACGCTAAGGTATAACTTGCCTACTTGAGGATCCCCAAGAAAGCGCCCATCTTGAGCGAGTCTCACCCTGAGGTTCACACACAGAAGGTGTATCAAGATCAGTGAGGTGGAGGTAAGACCAATTATTTTCAATCACGTGTGATATCGGTAGCTATACACTGGGGTTTAAGTAAATAAATAGCCAACTGCTTAAAATTATTATTTCTCATGAGAATATTTTCGTGCTTCCAGCCTATAGGCCTATGACGTTTTAGATGGTTTTATGTAGTGAGACATACATTTATTTTTGTTCTAATCTGACAGGATGTCAGTAACAGTCTAGTAATTAGACCAGCACAGTTACGAAACAATTTCAAGAATTTAATGTTTTGAGATTTAACGGAGCAATTAATGACTTGTGCATCTAGGCCATAATTAATAAATATTTCAAACAAACGTTACGCCTTTTAAACTGTAGAGTAGGCTATATTTGACTTATTGAAGTAAACGTGATGTTGTGGTTTACATTGCCTACATTAAAAGATGGCTGAATGTCTGGACAAAGATTGATTTACAGCAATATTTTATGAAAAAGTTATCCTCATTGAATTTGACAGCAAAAACTGAAGAGAGTACAGTGGAAAAAATAGCAAAAATAAATAGGCTACCGACAACAGATTCATTAAAGTGTACATTAATTATAGTCCGTTCTATTATTATTTTTATTATTTATATTATATTTTATATTATGTATGTTTTAAACGACTAGCGAAAAGGTTTAGGAATTAAGTGAACATACCTATAACAAACTGAACAAGAACGAACGTATAACAAACTTAAGCGGCAGGGTGAATTTGTATTTATTTAGTTTTTAATCAAACACGTAGGCCTGTCCTATGTTTAATCACACAGTGTAGCAAATGTTTTAGCTTTTAGGAGGATGGACTGTACAGATTAACATAAAAAAAAAATCCAAACATGTGTCTACACGTAGGCTATAGACGAAAGAACATGATATTGGCCTATTGTGTCGTCCGGAATTACTCTCAATAAGAGGGTAAAACAAACAAAACTAACCTATATCATTACACCCATGACTGAGGCCTAGCCTATCTCTTAAAACAGAAACCAGTCTTCCATTATTTCTGCGTTTATTCTTATCTGATAGCATGACCTGTTTGGAAAATAACATTGGCGAGAACGACAAACGGGTTTGAAAAGGACATATTCTGGCTGTTGCCATTCCTTTGGTCATGTCACCAGTAGATGTAAGTCAAGGCTCCCACGGCCCTCGAACTTCTCCAGGTGATTTATTGATCTTTCAGCCTCGTGCCTCGACCCATTTACTCTAAAACCGCAACCATATTTCACTGGAAATGCTAGGACGTTTAAACGAAATCCTCATAGATTTTAAATTCAAACATGCGTGCATATAAATGCGGAACAACTATGCGAAATTTGTAACCATTTTAAACTGTGAAAATGACAGAAAGCTCATGACATAAAATAAAAAATACATTGTTATATAGTCATGGCTAACGTTCAACCTGTTTGTGATTCTTCAAATTAGAGGCACTTTTGGCTAACTTAAAATCTTGAGTAACAAAACTTTCTCAAACTGTTGCGTCTCTGTTAAAACATTTATCACGTCCTTGTATAAAGATCTGATGATGGTCTTGATCAGCCTTTGGGTGGATTTTGGTATAATATCTTGATGTGTGATCACACATTACACCCTCTTGGTATAATGGCATAATGTGTGATGTTGTGTTTTTTTTGGATGTGTGATGGTAATGATAATGACATTTTGACAGAAAAAGTTTTGGACTTAATAAATGACCGAAAACGTCTTGGACTAGATAAATAACAGAAAAACAAAATGACCGAAAAAGTCTTGGGCTTGCTAATGCTCAATTCAAATAATTTCAAATTAATTCAAATTATTAAATGACTGGTATGGAATTGGTAATGACAGAATAAAGCTTTCATCGTGATGTGAAAATCTTAAAATGAATTATATTTATAATCTTCAAATGGTCACTTTGCTGTGGTAGTGTTGTTCTCATTTCCATTAAAAGGCAAATGTCATGGAAATTAGATTTTTTTTGACCAACTCAAGTGTTTGGCAAATATATATATAACAAACTGGGGGAAATGCAAAGTCAAATTTCCATAATTTAAACATTTTTATTATAATGGTTAGGTCTGGTTGGGGAACTAGCCGGAAACATTGAAAGTTCAATATTAATGAAACGAAACAAAACAAACAGACAAAAGCAGTTAAAATATTTTTTTTTCTTCAAAATCGTCTTAGGGGACAGTAAACATAATTTCCCCCTATACCAAGTAAAAAAAAAACAACATTTCAAATGTTCCTTTTTTGTCTTGATACTTGAGGTACACTATTTTGAATACCTGCATTTTACACTATTCATGCGCGGGAGAGAATAAGGAGACGAGGCTACAAGTCATCTTTTACGATGAATAGACTTGCTTTCCTCGTGAGTGAACCCTGCGCATCGCATCGGGTTGTCTCGAGTTTGGTGTTATTGAGAGCAACGTCAGCGATGAGGCGCGGGGGGAAGGAGGGAATGAGTGAATGAGCCAAGATATTCACCCCAGTGCTTTAACAATTCAAGCTATTCTGCGGATACTTTGCGTTTCCAAGAAAACATCACGTAGTGAACCATTTGCCTCTGAGACGGGCACTTACCGGTGTTACAACGAGGCTCGCGGCGGTATTTGAACAGAAGCAGTCTCTGGGGAAGAGACAGCTCTGTCTGCTCATGATCAGATACAGGGGATGCTGAGCTGATGCTAGTGCACTGGACTCAACGCCACACCGGGACGTAACTTCCTGCTGTAATGTCGCAGTGGACAGATTATTGCGGGTTGGAATGATATGGAGGATTTCAGAACATAATATTTTATGAGGTAATATTACATTTGTTCTCAGGAGGTCACATCATGCTGCTCTGAAATCCTTGTGCCGGACTGAACCCTCACTTATGTGTGCATGGAGGGCGGTAATGCGATTAGACGCAGTTGATCTAGCCTATCCTTCTTTATCAAATTAAGTGATCAACGAGAAGGCGTCAGTCCTTCATAAATAAAACCCTAGCTAGGGCTTTCTTTTAACAATATCTGAATATCGTCTTAGCATGTTATGTAAACAACGCAGCCTTAAGTTCATATTACTGTACACGAACCATTCTATTGTCTATATGATTCATAAAAAAGACGAGACTTATTCAACCCTCAATTCTTTTGTAGTATGTAATGCTGCGTGTAAATGTGATATTTTACAACACTTTAGGTGTTTGCATGTAAATGTGATTTATATCAAACGAAAGCACTGCGGCCTGTATGTGTGTTCTCGCTTAATATTTTAAATGAATTGTTGGGTGCACATTGTTTACGTGCCTAAACATCTGATAATGCAGATACTTTTGATATTGTTCGTGTCAATCCCTGATCCATCCTTTCGCCGCGAAGGATGGAGTAGACCTAAGGCCTTAAAGCATCAGTTTAATTCATCCTGAAGGCACAGTGCTTGGTAAACAATAAGACAATAATATCTATATTTTAGACGCTGAAGTGCGAAATAAAAATGTAAAAAATGCCTTGATTATCGCAAATAAATAGAGGACTGACGTGAATGCAAAAGAAGAAAAATATTTACATACGTATACAGCATAGCTGCCTATTTTAAACTACAGATTTTTATTTATTTATTTATCTATTTTAAATCAAAACAATGATAATGTTTTTCCTATTTAATTTTAGGTCCGTGAAATGCTGAAATTTCGGGATAAATTAACCGTCACCAAAAACACGTATTTATAGCTACACAAACTGAACAATTCAATAAATAATCAACATCATCTATTAATAATAAATATACAATTAGTTGCACTTTTATATCACAACGAAAACGCAATGCACAACTAAAATAAGTATTTATAGCTACACAAACTGAACAATTCAATAAATAATCAACAACATCTATTAATAATAAATATACAATTAGTTGCACTTTTATATCACAACGAAAACGCAATGCACAACTAAAATAAAATGACACCACGGTTAGATAGCTAGAATTATACCGTTATCTTACAATGTTAATCTTTTTTCCACCACACTTATTCTTAAACATAATCCAAAAACAATCGAAAAGGAAACTACAGTATATTTTAAACGGAACAATTTGTGTTATAAATGGACCCAATAATAATATTTTTTATGTGTCAAATCCTATTTAATTCCCATGCAAGGTCACCTGAAAGGGGCCAACACATTTCCAGCATTTTTCATGTTCCCTCTGTGATTGTCAAAATGACAGTGACAAAATGTGTGCAGTCATGGGATAACTAAACCTACATATGTTAAAAATAAATTTAAGAAAAATAAGTGCTTTATAGAACCAGAAACCAATACACTAATCTTTGAAGCCTATTATGAAACATCAATGCAGTTTTTAATCTCCAAAAAAACATAACTAACTCAAGAACCCTATATACAGGCAAAATGGTTCTTGATAAGAAGAGTGTATTTTCCTAAACCTAATGTCCTGCAAAATATCATTGAAGAAATATTGCAGAATATCACTATACTCACGTAGGAAGGAAAACTGCGTTGCCTTACGGTGTTAGTGAACGGGCCTGTTCTCTAACACACACTGTATCCAGTCTGGTACAGAACCAAAAGGAAGACCAAAAGATACTGGACCGCTATTAAAACATGCATCAAAACTTTATAACAGAACCAGATCTGGCTGATGGACCACCTGAAAATTCATCACGGTTCCAGGCAAGAGATTATTTCAGGATTCCAAATGGCATTTCAATGAACTGTGTGAATTCTGACCACAAAAGCATGGCCAATACAGTGCAACCCATCCTCAAACAATTGCATTTTATTATTATTTTTTAGTTGAAACTTGGTCAGCGTTGAACATTTTGGACAACAGGCTCTGGAAATAGCCAGCAGTGTGCACAGAGCAGTATCTGCCAGGAATAGTTTAGCGGATTATATGTCTGGGGTGACAGAGATGTAAACAGAGCTCTCGCTCACTGGGCTTAGTTAAACAGTGTAAGTGAAAGGCACATTTTGGACTGGAAAAGTCCAGGGTTGACTTGCTGTAGCCTCACAGTGCCTGTCAGACTTTATCTTTATTAGCTTTGGCAAATGCCTGCCTGAGTTTACACGGAATCCAGCTCTTCTCCTTTTATCTGAAGGGCGCACACTCACATTGTTTACATGCGTGAGATTAGGAGTGGGTGGGAGGAGGTGGATTTCACTATGAGAGCGGTTTGGTGTCTGCCGTGGACATAGGCAGCATTTATGGAGGCAGTGTGCTGTAGTACAGTAATGAGACATACCTCTGGTGTGATGTCTGAGCGTGAGCAGAGAAGGGGCGTGAGAGCGGGGCTTAGTTTCTGACCTCCCTTAATGGAATCAGCGGTGTTTAGCACGCTTCCATAAAACCGAGGTGCCCGAATGCTGGAAGTGTAAATATTTAATCTTGCGATACTTCAGAACAAACGGATCTCGACCCCTTTCCTTGAAATGAATTGGCCAGGCCATGTTATGAGGACAGACTTTCCCTCACGAAATGTAAATGTACGCTATTTCTCAAATTTTTCAGCCCATGTCTTGTCTGTGTGTATAATCAATTACAGCAGACTATGAGAGAACAAAGAGGAACTATGACATCTGTGGTATTTTCATTACACGTATATCATTAGATAATTTTTAGCTTGTGTTAAAACCATGGCGTAAGTTTAGTTTTTTTCATTGGCTCATTTTCAGTTTTTTGTCAAATACGTATACAGTATTTTATACTTACATTTTACATTGGCTGAATAACTGGAAATAAAATCAAGAAACAAAACCCAAACAAAGTATGTGTTCTAATTAATTGAACATTTTTATTGAGTTTATTATTTTCCTAGAATCATAATCTTAATGTATATTTTATTTTTGCATCAAGATGCCAGTTTTTAGCAGAAGAGAGAATAAAATAAGCAGTGAGATAATGCATGGGCATTCTCAGTTTTCTATTTTTTATTTAATTCAAGATGTTTGTCAAAAAAAGTGGAAAAACCCAGGTTTCTGTTTTAATATTAACCTGAAATGATTTTTCTATTCTGAAAGTTAACTTGTGAAGCCACTATTTAACTAATATTTTTGTAATTTTACAGAAATGCTACAGGAGAAGGCCTCAGCTGTGGCTGATGAAGGTATGACCGTGGCCCAGTCGGGTGGGCCTCCTGAGCTTGCCAGTGATTCCTCGCATTTGGGCCTGCCTACAACTCCCAGCATTCCCCAGAACAATGAGCCTGACCAGGTAGCCAATCAGCTGCATTCTTTTAATGACTCCTGACTTGTAGGTCTTCAAGTCTACGAACAGATGTAATGTAACATAACATAGATTTATTGCTAAAACACAAAATAAAATGAATTACAGTGAAAAAAGTTAATATATTTTTTTTCTACTTCTCACTTGAGTGGTATTAAGTGCCATATTTAAGTTTTTCCACTGACAATGACTCATTATCATTTATCTTTTTTTGTGCATGGACCTTTAGAACATTGAAAACATCAAAGTGGTTCTTCATGACAGGGAACTATGGAAGAAGTTTCACGAGGCCGGAACCGAGATGATCATCACCAAAGCAGGCAGGCAAGAAAAGCATCATTTCCATCCACCCATCTTCATAGATTTTAGACATTAGCAGAGACAAATGGCGCTTTTCCACTGCATGGTACGGCACGGTAGGGTTCACTTTTGGGGGGTTTTCCACTGGGGACAGTACCTGGTACTTTTTTTAGTACCACCTCGGTTGAGGTTCCAAGTGAACCGTACCGTTACCAAAACGTGACGTGTAAACTCTGCTGATCACGGATTGGCCGGAGAGAATCGTCACTACCTGCGTCACTGAACTTGCGACACAAACACAAAAGAACCGCTAGATTTAAATCAGCACAGCCAGCGAAGGATCGAACGCAACTGTTTTGAACAAGCGCACCTTTTTTAACAACCAAAAAGTGGCTGTTTTGTTGTCTGTTGAGGAAGTACAGACGTTCCTCTTGTTGATAGCAGAGGAGCGGATCCAGCGAGCTTGATGGGGCGACACAGAATGAAAAAGTTTTTCATTCTTTCAGGAGTCGCGGCAATAGAGGCGGCGCAAATATAATGACATGTGAATAATCCCGCCCACTCTAAAGCGGTACTGAACTGCAGTGAAAACGCAAACCGAGCTGAGCCGTGTCGTACCGTACTGAGCAGAGTCGTACCACGCAGTGGAAAACCGCCAAAAGAGAAAAGTGGTGTAACTAGGCCATCTTGCTTCCAGTAAGAAATGCAAATGTGAAACCTTGTTTTACCAAGAGGCTCAGTCGCATGAAATGCTGAAGCCCTTTTAATGGAATGTTTATAAAATATTAAGCGACTAAGGTAAAGCAAGGCGGAATTCCTGTGCCTAGAAATATCTAATTGAAAACACAAACTGCTGCCCCGTGTGTTAGATTTAATGTGCTCTGTGGATTAAGAGCAGGACCCTGGATATTAAGCAGAGAATGAGTCAATACTCTCTGCCAGTCTTAGCCAACAGTTTCTCAGCACTTCTCTGTGGAAATGCAAAAGGTCACCACAATTTTTCTTTAATGCTGTAACATTGTGAGGGATGGGCTTCCCCCTGTCCAACTGATAAAGTGCTCCAAGAATCCTCAAACCCTTTGAAGAGCCAAAGCACTGTTCAGTCGGACAGCTGCACACAGAACAGGAGACTGTACTTCCTCATAGTTCCAACAACAGATGGGCTCATTTCATTTTACATACTTCAGCGTATAATGGACACCAGGCTCTGTTAAAGATGCTCAATATGTCAATCGAGCCATGAAGCAGGAAGAGCTTTTCACCATTTCATTTTCTTTTTTTGAGGGGAATATGACTTGTAGGACATTAGACAGCCATTCACTGAACTGTAAATCTTGAGAAAACTCGCCAGGTTTCTTCACGATGGCTCCCATTACACAAAATTGAGGCCAATTTCATGCGATGATTCTCACCGGGGTCTTGTTACATAGCAGGCTTGAGCCATGTCTGCATGGTATATGCCGTTTGACAGTATAGGTTTACGCTGAAGAATAATACACCCTTATATCAAATTATATAGTAACAAAAATTGCTTATGACAATATTTTGCTTCTGTGAATTCCACAAACAAGGCAAAAATCCAAAGAATAATATCATGTTAAAATTTGAGTGTGTCAGACCTGAAGACTAAAAGAGTTTTTGTAATCAAAAAGCGATTTACTTTAGCATAAACAGTAAAACAATCCCCCAGTCATGCAACTAGCACTACTTTCTATGCAGAGAAAGTGGGTCATACATAGTGTTAAAAAAATATTCTGGGTTCAGTACAAGCTCAGTTAACAGCATTTGTGGCATAATGTTGATTACCACAAAAAAAAATTTTCCACTTTAAACCTATAATGACAGTAAAAGTGATGATTTAAACAGCTTCACAGCTTAAATAATACACAGGTTTTAAGAGAATTCAGTGCATTAATAAAATGACACATATTTCTGCTTTTAAATCCTCCAAAATTGGACCCATTTATTTCCAAGTTAAGTGCCTTATTGTAACGTCGATTTTTGCAAGTCAAATTTTGCAAGGAATTTTTATTATTTTTTTGGTACTCAACATTATGTATGCTGTCGATTGAACTTAACTTGTGTTGAACTCAGAATATTCCTTTGAAGAAGTGAGGAAACTCTGCTACAACACGTCTTATTGCACATACAGTCTGCGGCCCAGTACTAAGCACCAAGCATGACTATTGAAAGCAGCCGGCTGGTGTTTCTTGTACACAGCCTGTCAGAGTAAGCATCAGCTAGGCTGATGAGAGAAGCTCGGTGCCCCGTTCGATCATGTCTCCCAGGCCCTAAAGGACCTATCTTGCTTCATCATCTAGCTCCTTTTGATCTAGCCATTCTGCCGACTCCTTCAGATAGTATGAATCACTGAAAGCGCAGGCATGCAAAAGCACTAAATGAAACCGCTGGCATAATGCGCATGCTGACACCGATATGATACACCTTCATACTTGCCATTTCTCATTGTCGTCCTCATACATATACACTGAAGCGCAGACCCACCCATAAACAGTGCTTTTACTGAGATAACTAAAAAAGTAACCATATCACTTGAAAGAATTTTATTCCCATGGATATCTACAAACTTGACATGTAATATATACCTAAAACTGTGCCATCATTTACTCACCCTCATGTCATTCCAAACCTCTCTGACTTTCTTCTGGGGAAAAAAGAAGATATTTAGCCATGTGATCTACTGTGGCAGCCATTATGCCAAAATGTTGCATAAATGGAAAGAGCATTACATATCCCTCAGCTGTTTACATGTGAGTCTTGAGTAAATGTGTTTTACTCTAGATTTATTACATCCTCGCTGTTAGTACTGTAAATACTGAAGTTAATTTTTCCTAACTATTTTCTTAACATGAATAATTCATTTTAGACAGATTTGCATATTTTGAAAATGTCTACATGTTCAATACATAAAAGCACATACAGAAGAACTCTTGTAATGTTTAATGTAATACTAAGGTAACATTTTACAGTAAGTTTTATTTAGTGAGTGCAACAGGTATCATAAAACGTTGCCACAGGTTACTAATAATGAAAAATATCTTACAGCATTTAGGTTCATGTTAATTTTGACAGACCAAAACATTTTTAAAAGTTGTATAAATGTATTATAAAAGAACATAATGAACAATAGTATATTTATAAATTGACTTCATAAACATACACTCATAATTAACCTAGATTTAAAAAATACAGTTTAAATAAATTACAATTCAATAAAAATTTAGTAAAAGTTCATATAGTTCATGACACCAAATGCATTCACTAATGTTAACTAATTGAACCTAATTGTAAAGTGTAGAAACAATGTCAGAACCAACAGCAAAATAAGATAGTGGATGATAATTTTTGGAATTATTGACACCGAAGGACAAGGAAACACATCATCATCAGAGAAAAGCCTGGTGGATAGGTTTAAGATGTTCCTGATGGCTTAAAGCAAATCTATAGCAATCTCTTGCCCAGAGTGATTTACATTGATTGGATTGTAGACCTGAGCCAGACATGGAGCTTTACCTTTCCCTGAGCTCTTCCTTTGGGTATTAAAGGTAGTGCTTTCAGGGAACTTTTTACATAGTGCAGGCCTGAGTAGCTCTGCATTTGCAAATGCAATGAAATGATTCAGTTCAGGGCACATTTATTTGCCGTAATAAATGTATGACTGTTGGTGGAACCTCAAGAAAGTAATGCACTGCAGTGGAACTTTCTGGAGGAGTGGAGTGGTGCAATGGGGCTGTTTAGCTGCCCACTGTTTAAAGACCTGCCATTAAAAAAGCACTCAGAGTTTATAAGGGGACTTGATCTTTTTGCAACTTTGCAGATTATGAAAAAAAAAAAGAAGTCTTCTGGATATTTCATGTGAAGAGGTCACCAAAGGTAGCTACATTGACTTGTTTTATGACTGCGTCTGCTATATTAGCATATTCTGTCTGTCATCTCAGCTTTACCTGTATCTGAACAAAATATAGATCCCACATTTTATAGAGCGGCTCCTTCAAAACATAGTCAATCCCTAAAAATATATATCTGTCCAAAAGCAAATAAGTACCAGGTACAGATCATGACTCCTTATATGGGGTTGTCGTGGATAACAGTTAAATTTTATGCTTTAGGTTTTATGATTTTTTTGAAGTGTAGCCTTTTATAGTAAGATGATTTTCAGAGGATTGTCTGGGGATGCTTGAGCATGCAGCCTTCTTTGAGATTTAAGCGACCTTTTGTGCTTCTTAAAAAACTAATCTGTCCTAAAAACAGGTTAAGCTGTTATCTGATCACTAATCGTGTATTCATCCGCCCAAAACAAACACTTCCCGTGATTCTCTTGCACTTAAGGCCTGTTAAAACCCTCGAAAGAGCTGATAAGACAGACTCATCCATGCTTACTGTCAGTGCTCAGCTGTTGCACACGCACCCTGGGTGCTGTTCCTGTAATGAGTAATAAAGATGACAGAGAGATACCTGAATGACACAAATGGGATAAGCCTGCGTAGATGCGATTGAAAGAGAATGACCTCAGTGAGCACAAAAGCGCATTAACAAGTTGTCAAGTTAGATCTAAATGGCATTTAAGGACAAAACCACAGTAGTATGTAGATAAAAATAACTTAAAAAACAGAAATAAAATTATTGATCAAAATAAAATAAAATAAGTAATGAATAAATGAATACAATTATTTCTCATCATTTAACAACACCTGAAGCGATTAAGTTCTATTTCAATGTGACATCATCTTTCAATGGTAAGGCACTATTTTTAACCCTGATGGTATCATTTGTACTTTTTTTTTAGGCGAATGTTTCCCAGCTACAAAGTTAAAGCCACAGGAATGAATCCTAAGACCAAATACATCCTTTTAACTGACATTGTTCCAGCTGATGACCATCGGTACAAATTCTGTGACAACAAGTGGTGAGTTTACCATCCTTTTGTCTATTTTTAATGTTCCTTGTTTTTTTTTCTTTGAGCAAGGCTCACAATAGAATAATTAGAATAACCACATTCTGGAAAGTTGTGCTTGAACATGCAATAGCAAATATGACATGATCAGAAAAGTGACAAAGTGGTCCCTTCAGGCATCCTGACAAACACAATCTGGACAAAAATTAGCATGTTTTACATTCTGCTGTCTCCTCCAGTCTCTTTGATTCGAAGTTTGTTGAATTGAGTGGACAAATGGTGCCATTCACCATTCTACACGGTACAATTTTTAACACACTTTATACTCGTTTGAGTAAACGTGAACTGTCTTTTTATAAAATGAGAATGTATCCAATAAAACACTTTTTGCAAAGGCCAACACTGAAGGAAACTCAAATTGCAACCATATTTATTAGCAAACAATGTGCAGTCTGCATCAGTTTATTCATGCAATGCTGGCTAGTTCTGGCTGTGGATTGTCATTAGCACAGAGTTAATTACTGTAGGCTACAGCAGGCAGTCTGTCAAAACCAATGGGCTTAAAACAGCTGGGTTATGCATGCTGTCCTCTTTGTGACCCTGTGCCTCTGGCAATGCCACTAGATATGGGTACCATCCACCCATGCAACATTTGGCACCAGAAATAAGTCAGATCTGGTTGAATCCAGCATGGGGAAAAAATTAAATAATGATGGCACGCAAATCTCAATGAATTGCATGTTTTGTTACGAGAACGAGTATTTTATGACCATTTCTCAAAATCTGTGGGATAGACTGGAATTCCAGCATTTGCCAGCATCGGTTCTGGAGATCTTCAGCGACACCTTCAAGGCACACAATTAGCAGTGATGTTATGGTCAAAGCAGCCACCCCAAATCTTTGGGAATTACTCCCATAATGTCACGGACATAACCACTCGTGCTCTGAATCTGTCATTAATGTACAGATGTTCTGCATAAAGCCTTTCTGTAGTCTGCAGCTATATCCTATATAGAATTTGTGCAACACTGAAAAACTATTTTCCTTTTAAAAGCATTATGGCATGATGTCAGAGGTGCTGGAAAGCTATGTAGTACTAGAAGAGAAAATCTGGGGGACAGTCTAAATCACTGCACCAACAACTATTAGCTACAGGTCTTTTGCAAATGTTGCTAGTGCCTCTTAGGGTTGTCAAAAAAAAAAATCTTATGTTCTTTTCCATAGGATGGTAGCAGGAAAAGCAGAGCCTGCCATGCCTGGAAGACTCTACGTCCACCCAGACTCTCCTGCAACAGGGGCCCATTGGATGAGACAGCTGGTCTCCTTTCAAAAGCTGAAGCTCACAAACAACCACCTTGATCCATTTGGGCACGTGAGTGGCCGTAAACAAATTATTTTGTAAAAATTTGAGCTTTGACATTAAAACTTTGGATCCGATGAGACAGTGGGCAAGTAAGAGAGCATTACAAGGTGGACTAGGTGGGACACAAAATGTAGTGGACATAGCAACCGATCTTTTGTTTGGTATTGTGACAATCATCCAAGTGAAACAGATTAATCAAAAAACAAAGTGTAGGGTGGGGGCTTGCCTTCTATCTGTCAGTTGATGATTGTATGGAAGCAGATCTGAATGCAAGCTTAAGTTCAATTGTAAGAAAGAGGCAGAGTTTAAGCAGACAAAATGGTTGGATAAGACCAGTATACGTCACCAGAGAGTATGTTCCTCCAGAAGATCGAGCTATGACATTTTTCAAAATCTGTGGGATAGACTGGAATTCTGTCTGAGACTAAGGCACAAAAGCATATAATTTCCCAGAGTTTTTATTTCTTTAAACTGAAATTAAATTGGAATTAAACCTTCAAGCAAGGCTGTCAAAGGTTTAATTTGTTTTAAACCTTTAACAAGGCTGTTAAAGGTTTAAAAGACAATTTTTTAGTCTATCTTGACAAACATTTTTCGTTGCTAAAAATTACTTTTCAACTCCCTCCAAATTAAATTGGAATTACAATTCTGCGTCCTGTTCAATTCTGAATGAATACACCTCATGTGAGAGCTATGGTAAGGGTCATCTTGAGAAAGTAGAAGAAAGGAGAAGAGAGACTGTGGAGCAGAGGTGAGGAGTCTGACCATGGCAGCGCTGCCCAAAGGAGCCTGTGGACCTAGCTTGTCTGATGCAATAACATCAGAAGCAAGCTCATTAGGTTCATAACCTGTCAGAACGGCACAAAGTTGGCCTGTCAGGATTAGTTGAATGCCTAGGAAGTGATAAGGGCGAGTAATGAGCTTGGAAAGAGGTTGCTAAGCTCTACTGACGCCCACAACAGCAGGGACACCGTGGCTGACCGAAAGCCCCAATACAGGTCGACACTGTAGCCATGTTAGTGCACGCCACACAAGTCACAGTCAAAACATGCGCTAAAGCTAGGAGTCCCAAGATATAAAATTTTTGTGCTGATGATAATTATTTTCATGTTATGAAAATAACAAAAATATTAAGCAGCAAAAACGGCATTCAACATTGATAATAATAAGAAATATTTCCTGAGCACCAAATCAGCATATTAGCATGATTTCTAAAGGATCACATGACACTGAAGAGTAATGGCTGCTGAAAATTCACCATTGCCATGACCAGAATAAATAACATTTTAAAATTATATTAAAGTAGGAAACCGTTATTCAAAATTGTAATAATATTTCACAATATGGACCCACTTTATATTAAGTGGCCTTAACAACTATGTACTTACATTTAAATTAATAATTTGGTACAATGCACTTAGTGTACATACATGTTTTTACATTGTACTTATATTAAAAAAATACCTGCATGTAATTACATCTGTAATTAATTTCTGTAATTACATTTATAATTACACAGTTGACCCATCCCTTACACCTTAACCCACCCTTAAACCTACCCATACCACCAAACCTGTCCCTAACCTCACCCGTATCCCACCTCAATAGCAGCAAAAGTGTTTTGCAATACAATATGAACACAATAAGTACATTGTACTTAATTTTTGATGTAAGTACATTGTAGTTAAGGCCACTTAATATAAAGTGGGGCCCACAATATTACTATTTTTACTGTATTTTTATTTTTTAATAAATGCTGCCTTGTTGAACATAAGAGACTTCTTTCAAAAACATAAAAAAAGCTTACCAAACTGACCCCAAATGTTTGGACGATATACTTTATATACAATATTGTCCAATACATTAAAAAAACCTCCAATATTAACTGATAACCAATATTTTTTAGTTTTTCAGAAAGTATGGAAATTGTGATTTATTGGCATTTCCACAACACCATGCTTTGATTTCCTTTGCTAGGCCACTGACCACACAGACACCCAACACCCAAAGATATTTATAAGCTCTCTGTAGACTGAACTTGCAAGAATATTTTTGGTGCAGGGCCATCTAGCTTTAAGGTCACATGACACAACTTCTATTCCCAAAAATAGATCTTAGATTAAAAGAAAACACTGAGATGAAAGGCAAGGGCCAGCCTCGGAGTCTGCATTGATCTGAAAGGGGTGCTTGATTAATATACTTGGACAGCACACATCCCTGTATCTGAATCATCAGTGCAGCTCGTATCACATGGTATTACCTCAAGACGCTAGCCAGCCAACCAGGCAAAGGTCACATGTGTCTGCATTCACCCAATGAAGCGCTCAAACCATTCATTTGGCTGGGGCTACTGTCTGTGTCTGAGATGGGGGGGATTGACCTGAGGTTGCCCTCTGTGCACTAGTGCTCCTAACTCCTCTTTAAAAAGTGCAGCTACGAGGAGAGCTGCCTCACTCTCTGTCTGAAAGTCGACATAACAAAGGGAAAGGCCTTGATGCTTATTGGCCCTGACAGAACGGTGTTGGGGATGACCCTAACTAAACGCTTCACTGAACACCGAACACATGGATGCACTGAGCAGACTGGTGCTAGAACACTATGAACAAACACACATACACAAAAGATCCAATTGGATTACTTGCATACAACACAGAACAAAAGCTTTTGACATATTTATTGATCCTGTCACATTAACATATACTGTACATTAACAGCCTCATTAGTGTTCAACATACAGTTTTGTACACTTTGATATTCCCAAAAACCTACAATATGGGTGTAAGAGGATCATCCATATAGGTATTTATGTATTCACGGCTTTAGAAATTTAAAATTTATTGTAGGAATAATAAAAAATGTACCTGGAGCATTTTAGAATGATTTCTGAAAGATCATGTGACACTAAAGAATGGAGTAATGGCTGCTGAAAATTCAGTGTTGCCATCACAGGAATAAATAACAATGATTTTTAAAAATTGTTAAAAAAGATAACAGTTCTTTTAAATTGTAAAAAATATTTTTGAATATTACTGTTTTAGAATTTACTGTATTTTTGATTAAATAAATGCAGCAGAGACTTTCAAAAACATAAAACATTTTATGACCCCAAACCTTTGAAGTTTTTGAACCACATTTTAAAACAAATATTTATCATATATATTTGTATATAGTTAACTTTTTTCTAAAGCCCTAATCCCAACCCATACACTAAACCCAACCGTTTTTCCACACACACACACACACACATATATATTTATTACCAATTACATTATATATATATATATATATATAAATGTAATTGGTAGATAAATGTACTGCAACAGTAATTTTAGTGACAATATACTATACAGATATATAGCTATTTTTGAACTGATGAAATGGAACAATTACAACCCAATAATTTAATATTCTGTGACCCTAAAAGGATTTGTTAACAATGTACATATCTAAAGTCATTCATGCGTCAAGTGCTGTCAGTCTGTTAATAATGTGTTTAAATTGTATGAAAATGTACATGCATTAGAATGAACTATTTAAAAAAAAATGTAAAAGGTCTCTTTTTGTTAATATTCTATTTTAATTGCATTTCTGTTCTCAGATCATCTTGAACTCAATGCACAAATACCAGCCCAGGTTACACATCGTGAAGGCTGATGAGAACAATGCCTTTGGCTCCAAGAACACGGCCTACTGCACTCACGTCTTCCATGAGACAGCTTTCATCTCTGTTACATCCTATCAGAACCATAAGGTACCAACACAACCTGACCATAATACAATAGTGTCTCGCACTATTGCAAACTATTGGTCACACCTGCAGTTATTTAATACACTGCAATTACTAACTTGTTTGTTTTTTTATAGATCACCCAGTTAAAAATTGAGAACAATCCTTTTGCCAAAGGTTTCCGTGGCAGCGACGAGGGTGATTTGCGTGTGTCCAGACTTCAAGGGTAAGATTATAATTTAAAATATGCTGCATAATGTACCAAATAGATATCTTACTGACCAAGTGCCCCTTTTCCTAGGAAAGATTACCCTGTGATTTCTAAGAACATGGTCCGGCAGCGGCTTATCTCATCACATGGCCATCTGTCAGGAAAACTGGGTGCAGGTGTGCTAAGTAGCCACCCGCAGGTGGTTTCTCACTATCAGTATGACAGTGGAGTCCCTCTACCAAACTCTGATTCCCAGGAAGCTCTCTCTAACTCCTTCCCATCTAGCCGGGAATCCAGCCTTCTTTACCACTGCTTCAAGCACAGAGGTACATAGCTGTGGCAACCACCTTATTTGCCAAAAAAACTTGTTAATCCTGACTAGAGATGCATGATTATTAGTACTATAGTCAGTCAGTTATAGTCATATTCAGTCAGTTTTTATATATTCAATATCAGCTGTGCTCATTTCCTGTATTTTTACACTTAGATTTCCTTTGCAGTCATCGAACGTTCACTTAAAATTCATATTAAAAAATGCTAATAATTTAATAACACAAATGTAATCTTTAATCAATCTCAAAATATTTTTTTATACTCTACATTCTAATACTGTTGCCTAAATTCACTTGTAGCATTTAGAATGATTAAATTCAATCATTTTAAATGCTACAAGTAAATTTAAGCATCATAACATTCGTTTTTTATGAATAATATAATATAATATATTAATAAGATTATTGGCATGGGCGCATCCCTAGTCCTGACATAAATGAAGCATTTTTTATGAAGTATTTAGAGTACATTTTTAACAAAAATTGATTAATTTTCAACCACGTGTATTCATTATATTTTCTTTTAGATAGCACAAGGCATTTGGAACTGGGATGCAAACGACCCTATCTTGACACAACAGCCTCTGCAGTTACAGATGAGCACTACTTCCGCTCCCCTCCATCCTACGATCCACCCCTGCTGTCCCACCCATACTGCAGCGAGGCGTTGGGCTCTAGAGAGGCATGTATGTATGGAGGAATGGAGGGAGAGACAGGGGGCACAGTGGGTGCTGATGATCTCCCAGTCCCCTCCCTGAACTGCAATATGTGGGCGTCAGTGCAGCCGTGTCCTCGTTACGGCATGCAAACTGTGGAGGCTATGCCATACCAGCCATTTCCCGCCCACTTCAACAGCCCAGCCTCCGTTCCCTCTGTGGTTCCCCACCACTCACCGTCCTTATTTAATACACTGCAATTACTAACTTGTTTGTTTTTTTATAGATCACCCAGTTAAAAATTGAGAACAATCCTTTTGCCAAAGGTTTCCGTGGCAGCGACGAGGGTGATTTGCGTGTGTCCAGACTTCAAGGGTAAGATTATAATTTAAAATATGCTGCATAATGTACCAAATAGATATCTTACTGACCAAGTGCCCCTTTTCCTAGGAAAGATTACCCTGTGATTTCTAAGAACATGGTCCGGCAGCGGCTTATCTCATCACATGGCCATCTGTCAGGAAAACTGGGTGCAGGTGTGCTAAGTAGCCACCCGCAGGTGGTTTCTCACTATCAGTATGACAGTGGCGTCCCTCTACCGAACTCTGATTCCCAGGAAACTCTCTCTAACTCCTTCCCATCTAGCCGGGAATCCAGCCTTCTTTACCACTGCTTCAAGCACAGAGGTACATAGCTGTGGCAACCACCTTATTTGCCAAAAAAACTTGTTAATCCTGACTAGATGCATGATTATTAGTACCATAGTCAGTCAGTTATAGTCATATTCAGTCAGTTTTTATATATTCGATATCAGCTGTGCTCATTTCCTGTATTTTTACACTTAGATTTCCTTTGCAGTCATCTAACGTTCACTTAAAATTCATATTAAAAAATGCTAATAATTTAATAACACAAATGTAATCTTTAATCAATCTCAAAATATTTTTTTATACTCTACATTCTAATACTGTTGCCTAAATTCACTTGTAGCATTTAGAATGATTAAATTCAATCATTTTAAATGCTACAAGTAAATTTAAGCATCATAACATTCGTTTTTTATGAATAATATAATATAATATATTAATAAGATTATTGGCATGGGCGCATCCCTAGTCCTGACATAAATGAAGCATTTTTTATGAAGTATTTAGAGTACATTTTTAACAAAAATTGATTAATTTTCAACCACGTGTATTCATTATATTTTCTTTTAGATAGCACAAGGCATTTGGAACTGGGATGCAAACGACCCTATCTTGACACAACAGCCTCTGCAGTTACAGATGAGCACTACTTCCGCTCCCCTCCATCCTACGATCCACCCCTGCTGTCCCACCCATACTGCAGCGAGGCGTTGGGCTCTAGAGAGGCATGTATGTATGGAGGAATGGAGGGAGAGACAGGGGGCACAGTGGGTGCTGATGATCTCCCAGTCCCCTCCCTGAACTGCAATATGTGGGCGTCAGTGCAGCCGTGTCCTCGTTACGGCATGCAAACTGTGGAGGCTATGCCATACCAGCCATTTCCCGCCCACTTCAACAGCCCAGCCTCCGTTCCCTCTGTGGTTCCCCACCACTCACCGTCCATGCAGCATCCACATCCAGCACCTCCCGACCTAGTTACGTTTACCACACAGCGGGTGTTGCCACCCACACCATCTTCAGCTTCCTCCTCCCCCTCTGGCCCTGCCCCCCGTGATAGAGCACATTCTTCGCTGTTTCATAGGAAGCCTGGATCACCGTTACGTTCACAAAGGGATTTCACAGCTCTCTCTAACTCCTTCCCATCTAGCCGGGAATCCAGCCTTCTTTACCACTGCTTCAAGCACAGAGGTACATAGCTGTGGCAACCACCTTATTTGCCAAAAAAACTTGTTAATCCTGACTAGAGATGCATGATTATTAGTACTATAGTCAGTCAGTTATAGTCATATTCAGTCAGTTTTTATATATTCAATATCAGCTGTGCTCATTTCCTGTATTTTTACACTTAGATTTCCTTTGCAGTCATCGAACGTTCACTTAAAATTCATATTAAAAAATGCTAATAATTTAATAACACAAATGTAATCTTTAATCAATCTCAAAATATTTTTTTATACTCTACATTCTAATACTGTTGCCTAAATTCACTTGTAGCATTTAGAATGATTAAATTCAATCATTTTAAATGCTACAAGTAAATTTAAGCATCATAACATTCGTTTTTTATGAATAATATAATATAATATATTAATAAGATTATTGGCATGGGCGCATCCCTAGTCCTGACATAAATGAAGCATTTTTTATGAAGTATTTAGAGTACATTTTTAACAAAAATTGATTAATTTTCAACCACGTGTATTCATTATATTTTCTTTTAGATAGCACAAGGCATTTGGAACTGGGATGCAAACGACCCTATCTTGACACAACAGCCTCTGCAGTTACAGATGAGCACTACTTCCGCTCCCCTCCATCCTACGATCCACCCCTGCTGTCCCACCCATACTGCAGCGAGGCGTTGGGCTCTAGAGAGGCATGTATGTATGGAGGAATGGAGGGAGAGACAGGGGGCACAGTGGGTGCTGATGATCTCCCAGTCCCCTCCCTGAACTGCAATATGTGGGCGTCAGTGCAGCCGTGTCCTCGTTACGGCATGCAAACTGTGGAGGCTATGCCATACCAGCCATTTCCCGCCCACTTCAACAGCCCAGCCTCCGTTCCCTCTGTGGTTCCCCACCACTCACCGTCCATGCAGCATCCACATCCAGCACCTCCCGACCTAGTTACGTTTACCACACAGCGGGTGTTGCCACCCACACCATCTTCAGCTTCCTCCTCCCCCTCTGGCCCTGCCCCCCGTGATAGAGCACATTCTTCGCTGTTTCATAGGAAGCCTGGATCACCGTTACGTTCACAAAGGGATTTCACAGGCTATCCGACCCACAGCCCCACTTCAACACGAGAACCAGCCTATCAATACCAAACGGGCCTCAGCAGTGTTGGGCCACACTGGACTGACAGTTAAAGAGTGACCCACAGCACCATCTACAACTATATTCCTCTTCAGCTAAGAGCAACAAACTCTCTCTGAACAACAACTGCAATGAGATTATTTTTTACGTACAGCCATGATACTAAATTGTAAAGCAAAGCCATAAATATATTTAGCCTAATAGTATAGGAAGCCCACAATTTGTGGCACTGTGTATTTATTTGAATTCAAGATAAGACTAGAGTAGCAGTTCATGCGCGGGTGGTGAAGCCAAGCACAAATGGTGTACCTAATGCACTGTTGTTGGCATTAAAGGGTTAGCTCAGTCAAAAATGAAAAAAATCTTCTTTGGTGAAGAAAGATGATCATACAAGTTTGCTACGGCATAAAGGCAATGGCAAACTTTCATTTTTGGATAAACTGTCCTTTTAAGATGAACCTTTTCAGTGCCGACTTTCTGTATGAAGCACAAAATGTGTGTGCCAATTGAAATTGTGCTCTGCTTGAGAGATTTTGTGTATTAGGTGCATAATGAAAAAAGTCAATGGATTATATTGAGAAGTTTAGTTGTTAGTTAACCTAAACAGACTTAGTTATTACTAAGGCTGCCTTTTTCCCCTTCAAATGTTAGAGTGTAAGACCTGTGCCGAGCCCAAAGATTGGTTGGAGTTATTTTCTGGGTGTTATTAAGAGATCCTTATTTTTTCCTATTAACGCAATAAAGTTTTAAACAAAATGGAATTGCTAATGTACTGATGCTATGCAATTGCTAATATATCTTTGTAATGCAATCACAACAATGAAGCTATTAAATATTAAAACACCTGACCCTCTACCGTAATCAAATAATAAAATGATATTTGTGGTAAAAAACAAAAATACATACCAGACTTACAGCTCAGATTAAAGTGCTCTTGGATTGGCTCCGATGCTTTTCCTCCGTTTCCGTTGGACTGTGTCTGTAAATGGAGTGTGGGGCAGGTTGAACAATATGTGCTTGAAGAGAAGTGTTTGAGTTGTGAGTCTGGCACCAAATCATTGTCCAAATTTGTTCAATTAGTGCAATGCGACATCAGAGAATTCCTTGCAACCAGATGGAAGCTTAAAGAGCGATCATTAAGAGAGGAATAGAGAAGAACAGAGAACTCATCTGAAGTCCAAAACTCAACTGGCTGGGTTAGAAAATCCTTAAGAGGTCAACAATGTAAAACAGCCTCTGCAGGCAGGCAGCCACAAGTCAAACTCAAAGAGAATGTGGTATTACTGGTAAGCACTGCGGTTCTAATTAACGAAAACAGGATGTGTTAAGGGAGCATATAGTGGTGAATGTGCTCGCATTACATCATTTAAATTGGGAAAACTGACAAAAAGTCTGTTAATTCAGCATGTGACTAATTATATCCATAGGTATTTCAGATTTTTGCACAAGTTGAATAAACTGTACCTTTTTTAATTTCCCATGATGAGTTCATTGTGTAACATTGTTTCCAAGGCCTCCTGTTTGAATGGACTGCGGAAGGCAAATATAGGATGGTTAATTAACAACTAAGAAATATAAAATAATGATCTATAGATAACACTCAAATTTCAACCCACCTGAATGTGGTAGATGCTAAAATTCCAGGTGTGGTTTTTATGGACCATTGGATGATTTTTGATTGTGTTACTAAGACATGTTTGCTTTATTGCCATGCTATTACTCATAATAAGCTCTGACTAAAATTACCTAATTAACTAATATCTACGGATGTGTTTAAGAACAAATTTAGAAAATTTGAAAATAATGATTATTTCAATATCAGCTACCAGCCATAAGAAAAATAATAAAACAAAAAAGTGATTGTGGAATATTATTTTGGTTAAATCTTTTTTTTTTTTTATAATGGTGCATCACAAGAAATATGCTATAATGTGTGCAATAATATTTATTCTAATAATCCATAATTCTATAATGAATATATGCTATAAAATAGCTTATGTTGTCACAAGAAAACTTTTTTAAAGTCACATTGGATGAGAGTATCTGCTAAACTGTTTTCATTCTGATAAATTGATGAAAAGAAGTGCTAGGTGATGTGATTTTTGTGACTTTATTTAACTACAAACAAGTAAACAATTAGTTGATTTGTATAAAGCAGGGTTCTCAGAACATAAGGGAAAAAAAGTAGTTATAACTAAAAAATATTACCTCATTGTGATAAAAATAAAAGGGACATTAAAAGGCAAATGGGAAATGCAGTTGATTCCTCTGAATGGGTCCCAGGTTAGATTGTAGAGAAGAACTGGACTACTGATGAAACCAAGCAGATCTAAGGGGAAGGGAGGAAATGAGAACATCAGACTCTGGCTCTTTGAAATGCTCCAAAAAACATTTTGATTTACATGAGTGATACACAATCCAAGAATGAATCCCATAAAGTACCAATAGAGTAATAGGACACATGAGCATGAAGTAAATAGCCATTGTATTATACATAACTTCAATGGAGTGCTGTTCTGTTTTTGACTGGGTTCAAGTACAGGAAGTGTCATGTGGTACTTTAATATGCTTTTAAAAACTGAAACACTCTCCCTTACCAAATCCCATCTGATAAATCTAGGATCACTTAAAAAGAGCCCTCATTGTCATCTGATCAAAACTTAGCCGGTCTTTTTTTTTTTTTTTAAACCAAAGCTTTGGTATCACATAAAAAGACAAACTGGACCTATAAGATTCATGCGATTTAACTTTCCACATAAAAAGCCGCCTATCTCCATTAAAACAGAGCCAGATTTAAGCCTCACACAGAATACTCCAGCTTGTAGTATCTAAGTTTGGACTGGGGGGGCATCTGGAACTCATTGGAGGAGATCTCCCTTGCCCTCCACTTGCAGCTTCCCACTGTCGTCCCTAAATCCCATCTGAGAGCCGCCTTGGCAAGGCAACTCTCTGACCCAGCAGCTTAAGTCACTCCTCCTTGTAAAACGTTGGAATCGGCTCTTCGAAGGAGCACTCAGAAGCACGCTTTAAATACTTTGAGGGGATTTAATATCAAGTCCATTATGGCCTTTCTTGGGCCCAGTAAATAGTCAATTAGTGGATAATTCTGATTTGATCCACATGCGGCCAGATCCGCTGGCGACCGGACAGCTTTGCATTCACCGGGCACCGCCAACACTCTTGGGATAAAAAAAGGGGGGTGACTGAAACGGGAGGGGCACCACATGTAGCCCTTTTTGTGCCTCACCTGCCCATTGCAGCAGGCATAAATGCTGTCAAGTCTAAAGCTAAGTTGGTTTTTGCACTTTCAGTGACTTTGGAATAAAAGCGAAGTCATAATCCCTCAAGCTGGAGTTGTCTGTGGTCTTGCTGCATTGGAAATGAGGGGGGTTGACTGATCTTAGACGAGAGGGTGGGCTTCAGGAGGAGTGCCAAATTGGGAGATTCAGAGGTCCAACTCAAGGCGGTATCCCTTGATCAAAAGGTACATCTGGTCGACTCCATTAAAACATAAACCCAACTGTAGAAAATTGGGGTCCAACATTACTGAGTGGCTTTGGATAAAAGGACCAATAAAAATTAATAATTGTATTATATACATACTGCGGATTAGAGTTTGCTAAAGAAATGGTGGATGGATTAATCGTTTATCCATCGGATTATATAAAGGCCTGTGATGTTGATATATAGTGTGCTGTGATGGCAGAAGAACACAGGCAACAAACAAGCTCAAATTTGGGGCTAATTTTTTTTTATAAAAGGCTATTTAACCAATCATAACAAAGCTTCTCAAAGTGAACAATGTTGATCAGTATCCAAATACATACTTCACTGGAATATGAACATTTAAAAAAACAAACAAACAAAAAAAACTGGATATAATTATAAAAACTGCTGTGGTTGGATTTGAGGACTACACATGCATAGTCTTCACATTACCTCATCGTTGCATCACATTTGCTGGACAACTAATGGCTTAGCATGTGAACCTGTGCGTGCGTAGTCAAGGAAAGAGCAGGTTCTGGATGGCAAATTAGTGTTTGAAAGCGTGATACGCCTTTGTGCACTTCAATACTCCACCTCTGCGCTCTCAACAGAGTTTCTGTTGGGTCTAGAGAGCCAATCAGCGGTTAAAATACCAAGGTCTGCCCCTTTCACAAGCCCCCAATCTTAACACGGCATCCTGGAGTGTGTGCACAGGACCAAAAGGAAATGCAGGAAGTGTTGCACCGAATAAACCACCCAGTGAGAGGGTTCTTGCAGCATACACATGATTAAAGTAACCGAGCCTGCTTACCTCTGTATTTTATGAGTGGTAGAGCAACTGTACAGGTCAAAGGAAAGAGATCAGATTCCTTAGTCACATGACCAGGCACACAATTAGGCATTGATTGTTTTGAGAACAAGATGCAGCATTTGGTCTTGAGGGGACCTCCTCGAGTACTAGAGCCCTGCACGGGCCTCAAATATAGGCCCTGGCCCGAGACGCTCAGGACCTAGCCCGGCCCGTGTCCGACAGCTCATCAGAATTCTTGGCCCGAGTCCGACCCGAGCCCGTTTTTTTTCCCCCTTTCTCCCAAAACAGCTTATACTACTGTTTCAGCTATTAAAAGAGTTCAGTTTTGTATGTAATGTCAAAGTGATTATATTTCGTTTTTTTTAAGTTAATTTAGAAAAACGTTTGGAGCATTTTTTTGTTCGTTAAATGTAAGTTTTTGTTTTTTAAAGTAACTACCAAGCGGCCAGCGGCAGACAGTGAGTTGATCATGTTTGATCAATTTAGCCTTCTCAAATCATCACGACTTGCCTAAAATAAAATCTATAGATATAAAACAGTTCAAGCATATCACAATGTTAGTTTAAATATTTAACCTACATACAGATACTCTAGATCTAGATATATAAATGTGCGCTATTAGACGCATATCTAATCGTTTGTGCGGAGAGCTAAAGCGCGCTTCACAGGACATGGAGGAGCCGGCGCGATCACTTGCATTGGAAACAACTTAAAATATGCCGTAATTATTGCTCATAAAGGTAAGAGTAATACATCACTCGGAACTGTAAAGGGTCTACTTTTATTTGTGTGCACATACAATATCAACAAAGCGTTGTGCTTTTATAAAATAAAGGATAAATACAGGATGCTTTCTGCAATTTCGGCCAGGAGCGCTTCACAATGATGAACCGAACTCAGCGAATACTTGCCTCAAAAACTTGCTAAATATATCTATAGAAAGCTTTAAATTACTACTTAACGAAATAAAACAAATCAAAAACAAAAACTCTTTCATTATGATCATAATCCGTAAAGATGCACTTCTCT